TGCTTAATTCCAAACAAACAATGTAATGATAACAAGAAAATATAACTAGTTATTTCTCATAATTTGCTTACTATTCTGCTCTTAATTTTACTGTATGGTTACCGAAAAAGTGAAAAAATTATTAAAGGCCTTCAGCTGTATAAGTAATGTTATTAATTATAGTTATGTTTTACTTATAATATCTTAAACATATCAATACTTGTTTGTTTGTTTGTGAAATTTGCGCAGATACTCGATGACTATCTGTACTGGCCATTCCTAATTTTGAACTGATAGACTCACTGCCAACGCTTGGGCTACTCTTTTTACCCAAGAAAAGTGGGATTGACTAACACGTTATAACACCCCAATTGCTCAAAGGGTGAACATGTTTGGTGACGGAATTCGAACTCGTGACCCGCAAAATTTATCATGAATTAGATGTTCGTAAGTTTTAATGATATAATGGGGTAATTGTATAATAATAGGCATTATACTTTCCAAATTAAATACATATCGGATATGAATAATTAATCAAAATGTATATATATATATATATAAAAAATGCTCATTTGTTAATTTTTCAACGTATTTTCCGGACGTATATATGTTATATAAATTCAGTGAAGTCATGTCTTATTTTTTTTTGGCGGGAAACTTCAATATAAATATACTTATTAATGGTTTTTTTTTATCAAAATCTCCCCAGTGGCACAGCGGTGTGTCTGCGGATTTACAATGCTAGAAACCGGCTTTCGATACCCGTGGTGGGGAGAGCACAGATAGTCCATTGTGTAGCTTTGTGCTTAACTACAAACAAACAAACTTTTTCAAACGGCACATAAATTTATTAATTTATAAATAAAGTTGAGTACACCTGTATATCACCAGTTAAAACAAACTTCCCTCATTGTGTATTTCATGTCTACAACAAAATTATACAATTTAGTATTACTAAGATTTAACTCTTGAAAAGCTGTTGCTTAGATGTTGTATCGAAATATATCAATATAATGTTTTTCCTTTGAATTTTTCAATTTGTGATTAGTTTCTTCTGGATGTTTGTGTTTTTAGAAAAGACGATTAAACAAAGAGAATGGGAAAAAACTGTAAGCCTACATAGCTATAACAAAAAGCAATTGAATGAGAGGACCAACGATGGATTACTCATTGTTCGGATGGTTTCTTTATTAGAAGATATAAAAAACAGGAGACAGACACACACACAAAAAAAAAACACCTCATTCCTCAATAAGGTCACTTCCTCTGTTTGAATGAGGCGCTTATCACGATCTTTTGGAATTCAGGATGATGGAGGAGCACGTCCAAAAGTTAAGACTAGTGAAGCGGTATGAACATATTTTAGGCATTATTAAATCCTGACACACTTTTTGTTTGTATTTTGTTTTCATTTTATCTGACAGTATAAATTATAAGAAGGTAAAGGTAGTAGAATTATTTTCTCGTGTCTTTTACATATTTTACTATTGGGTATAATTTAATAATTCATTAAATCTATCTAATGCTTTTTACAATATGAATATGATCATTGTACTGCATTGAAGAACCTCATCTTCTTCAGTAAGCTCTTAACATATGAAGGTTTGTATTAGGTGTAAGTCATCATATCATTTTCAGTACACAAGTTATAACTGGCTGAGATTTATAAGAATCCAGAAGTTCAAATTACGAAATTCCATTTAAAGACTTAGACCAATCAAAACATTTGATTTAACCATAGTGTTTATCTATCTAAATGTTCTTAAAAGTGTATCAAGAAGTAAAAGTTTATAGTGTGGTAGCAGAAACCCGCGTACAAAGCATTTATTTTTGTATATTCTGAATTGACAAGTTTTTTTTTTTGTTGTTGTTGTTAAGCACAAAGTTACACAAAGGGCTATCTGTGTTGTTCTGCTCACCACGGGTATCGAAACACGGTTTATGATAGTATAAATCCGCAGACATACCACTGGGGCGGGGGGGGGGGGGGGGAGGGGCTTTTAGTTGACAAAACACTTCGACATGCCTGTACATCTTAATAAAATGTTAATTTGTTTTATTCAGTTAACACGCTCTCTTCATAGTTTTTAACATACGTATCCATTTCTTATTTGTTCACAATAAAATTACAGTAACGTAACGAATGTCAATTTCCGCTTTAGATATTTTCGTCAAACTTTAATTTTCCAAAACGTTCTCTACGCTATACCGATCCACGAAAATATGTCAATACGAAAAATACATAATTGTTATCACCTTTTTTCTTTTGTAGAGTTACCCCTCTTTTTACACTTTGTTTGAGAGCAAAGTCACATTAGGCTATCTGCTGTTTCCACCGCGGGAAATCCAACCCCGGATTTGAACGTTGTTAGTCCTTACATTTACCGCTGTCCTACCGGGAGACCTTTGAAAACTAAAACAACACTTTTCTCTATGTCACGTTTCGTTAAACTATTGTTCTAGTATTTATTTTTTCAAGACCTACGTGTTTTTCTACGTTGTTTATACATATGAGTAACTAACTTTAGTTGATCAGAAAGTGTGAAGCGAATTGATTAATGACAGGGTCTGTCAATGGACAGTCTTATTGTTTCCATTCCTCATCAAATTATTATTTGTCTATCCATGAGACGGCTTGCGTATGAAAAAAATGTTATATAATAAGTACACGTATAAAACAGTATTATATAAAAATGTGATGCGGCCAGATACGATTTATTAATCGTCAAATCCGTGTTTAATTTCACATAAATTACATAAACCAATGATAAAAGTACTTTGAATAAAGCCATTTCCACTTACCGTATTTTTCGGTGTATAGACGCACTTTTTTTACCCCAAAATTTGATAGTCAAATTCTGCTTGCGTCCTATACACACGAAGGTATGAATAATATATATAT